CAAGTTAAGACTGAGCTGCCTGTCAAACAAGAACCTGAGTCTACTGATTGCACTGAGACTGGAAATCAAGTAATTGTGTCTGAGGAACATACTGAAGATCTTCAGGTTAAGAAGGAAATAAAACCTGCCCTGGCAACAAAAGAGATCACAGACGAAGAATCTGAAGAGTTCACAAAAAGCAAATCTGAGTCTGAGATTTATGACCCAAATACACTGTACTCTATCTGTCACCAGCCTCATAATAACAGGTTTATGATTTGTTGTGATAGGTGTGAGGAATGGTTTCCTGGTGACTGTGTGGGGATTTCTGAGCTCGTGGGCGACTGTTGGAAAGGAATGGGGAGGACTATATCTGCCCAAATTGCACCATTCTGCAGGGGCAGGATGAGACAGTTCCAGAAACAGATCAGCAACAAACTAAATCAAGGCATGTAAACGTGGATGGCACAGAGCTCACAAGTGTAGGAACAGTCGAACAAAAGTCCAGTGAGGATCAAGGAATCAAGGATAGGACTGAAAAAGCTGCAAATCCAAGTGGGAAGAAAAAACTCAAGATATTTCAACCTGTAATGGAAGCTCCTGGTGCATCAAAATGCATTGGTCCTGGCTGTTCTAATGTGGCTCAGCCTGATTCTGTGTACTGCAGCAATGACTGCATTCTCAAACATGCTGCAGCCACCATGAAATTTCTCAGTGCAGGAAAAGAACCAAAGCCAAAAGAGAAGATCAAATCAAAATCTGAGAGATCCACAATTCTAAAATCTCCACTGCAGGCAGGTACTAAGCCTTTGTCCTCCCAGAAGAAACCAACTCCTGAGAAAAAAGAGATTAACATGAAGAAAAGTATGGTGACAGCCCCTAAAACTGAAGCAAACACCCAACCAGTTGCTAAAGAGCCGGCATCAGAAAACAGCATGCCATCCTGGGCAAGCGATCATAATTACAATGCAGTAAAGCCAGAAAAGACTGCTGCCATTTCATCTTCACTCTTATTCAAATATAGGTATCGCATAGGGATATTCCTGAGTAATCATTTACATTTTATTTGAATACCCATCCATTCTTGGCTCTGTAAGATTAGGAAATTTGGTATCTTTTTCTTAATATGACACACAAATTTTCTCTCCTTCAAAGATTCACACACACTTATATCAGGGAAATTTTATAAGGTTCATTTATAATTTGATATCAAAGTGTACGCAACTGGTTTCTGAATGTAAACTTGCTGAGTAAGTTACTAAATGTTTTCCAAAGGCAATAACCATTTCTGTTCTTAGAGGAGGCGAGTATTGATATACACGTCTTAAATTCAAAATATTGTAAGTTACACGAGGTGCCCCTGTTATCAACAATTCACTGTACTAACTTAAATTTTATTATCATACATCTAGACTTGGCACTTGCTTCTCAAGTTTTGCATTTGCATTGCTAGTGCCAAGACCGGATTTTTCAACAGGGTTTGTTACAGACCTTTTATATTTTTGCAGACAGCTTTTAACTGTCAAGTATATCCAAGTTCTCCTTCTTAGTCCTGCCATGAATGCAGGGGACTGGACTAGATGACTTCTCGAGGTCCCTTCCAGTTCTATGAGTCTATGTTTCTATGATTTCAAATCCGCCAGTTACTCTACCTGAAGTGGGGCGTAGCCAGAGCTTGTGCCCAAAGTTGCCTCCACCAGCTGGCACTCAGTCTAGTCCTGATCAAACGAAGCATTCTCTCTGCCGGCGCTGCTCAGCTCCCTTCCTCTGTGGGAAAAGGAGGAGGGTGAACACAAGACAAGGTGGACGCAGCAATTTATCCCCAAATCTGAACCATTTCATCCCTCCAGTCGAGGCCAACATCACCAGGGGACCTACCTCCCTTCTAAACAGCCTTCCCCCAACCCCTCCTTTTTGGGCTTGATCCCAAATAGCCCCTACCAGGACTTTCCCGCCTCCATTCTATGGCATATGTAGCCTATATGGGATCTTACTATTTCCCATCCCAAAATTCAGCCCAAATCCCGTAGTGGGCTTGTGACTTACTCCTAGAAAGCCACTGGGAGGAGCATCTTGCTGAGAAGACTGGCACAGAGCTTCTCTGCTGTGGAATTTTGATAAAGAAGTGGTTGCTTCTGCACTGTGACATCATTGCTTAAGGGATGATGCCACTCAGTATTATGATATCATCACTTGTATTATCTATATTCTATTATCATCCAGGGGAACCAATCAAGGATTAAGGCCTCATTACGCTAGGCGCTGCATAGGCATACAATAAAAGGTCACAGAGTAGCAGCCGTGTTAGTCTGTATCCGCAAAAAGAAGAACAGGAATACTTGTGGCACCTTCGAGACTAACAAATTTATTAGAGCATAAGCTTTCGTGGACTACAGCCCACTTCTTCGGATGCATATGCATCC